GAGGCCCACTCTGAGTTAGTGGTCAGCTAAGCGGTGAGGCCTGCCGAGTGTGGTTAGTGTGGGGAGCGGAGAGGCGGGAGGCAGGGCGGCAGGGAGACAGGCCGGTGTGTGGCGTCACAGGGTAAGCCACTGCCTTAGTCGCCAGCAGCCCATGTGAGCGCCAGTTCGAGTCTCGGCTGCTTCACTTCCAATCCAGCTCCCTGCAAACGCGCCTGGGAAAGCAGCAGAGGAAGATGGCCCAGGTGCTTGGGCCCCTGCCACCCACCTGGGAGACCCCGAAGCAGCTCCTGGCTCTGGCCTGGCCCTGTACCAGCCATTGCGGCCAACCAGTGGGTGGAAGATTCTAACTCTGCCTGTCAAATAAATTACATAGATCCTGCTCGACTTCCCCCCCCCTCTGCGCCCCAGGAGGCACCTCCGTTTCACACCTGGCTTCCTGCAGCCCATTGGTCACACTCAGCTGCTTGCTGTCTCCGAAGCCCCCCACACAGGACACCAGCTCCCTCTCGCAACCCCAGAGTTACTCTCCCCCTGTGTTTCCCACATCCCGGGGCCCGCAACACACTAGGGAATTCTCTTGTGCCAGAACACCACCCACGGGGGAGTCTCCAGTGACCTGGCGCCGGAGCCGTCGGTGCTGCCGTACCCGCCACACAGGGCCCCGGTGCAGCTGTGCCGCCACCAACCCAAGCCCAGAACCGCATCTGCTTTCAGGATCCAGGGCTGCGGGAAGAGCAGTGGAGGGACTTCTGGGTGCTGTGGGTGCCCCCCGAGACTGCGCCTCCCCAACCCAGGGACCCACCACTGAGGCCCTTCCGCTGAGCAACTTCCCCCAGGGGACTCAGGGTGCGGGTAGGGGGCCCGGCAGCAGCTGCAGGGGACGCCTTGTCCCCTGGTCCTGGGGCGGGTGGGCAGCGGGGTGCACACGGGCAGGCTCCTCCCTGGCCGGCTTCTTCCCCAGCGGCTTCGGCTGTTGGAGAGAAGAACCGAAGATCACCCGGGAGGGGAAGCCACACGTTGCCTCGACCGTGATTTAACCCAGAGCAAGGAAGGGGCTGGGGCTGGGCACGGACTGAGACGCACCTGGGGCTGAAGCAGGTGCGAGCCCTGACGAAGCCCACGGCTCTTCGCTTCAGGGCACTTTCCAGCACAACGCCCCGCTGCAAAGCCTGTGAGTGCACTTGGAACAGCGTGGGAACGTGACTGCCCCTGTTCCTCTGTAAATTTAAGTACAAACCCGCTCCTCTCCACGGCACATTATACACTGGACTTCAGACACAAAAGGACTGGAAACTATATTAACGTAAAAGCAGTGACTGGGTCTATTTGTCTGTTTGTTTAAGGAAAATATTAAAAGTAACCCACCTGCAGCAGTCATGGGCTAGCAGGTGAAGCTGCAGCGTAAGGTGCCCGTAGCCCGTATCAGTGATGGTTCAAATCCTGGCCGCACCGCTTCTGATCCAGCTCCCTGCTAATGCCCCTGGGGAGCAGCAGAGGATGGTGCCAGGGCTCGCGTCCCTGCCACCCACGTGGGAAACCCAAGTGGAGTACCAGGCTCCCGGTTTGGCCTGGAACAGCCCAGCCACAGCCGGTGCAGGCATTGAGCCAACGGGTAGAAACTCTCCCTTTCCCTCCCTCTCTCTCCCTCCCTTTGAAATAAAATTTTTTTAAAACTTTTATTTAATGAATATAAATTTCCAAAGTACAGCTTATGGATTACAATGGCTTCCCCCCCATAACGTCCCTCCCACCTGCAACCCTCCCCTTTCCCACTCCCTCTCCCTTCCATTCACATCAAGATTCATTTTTGTTCTCTTTATATACAGAAGATCAGTTTAGCATACATTAAGTAAAGATTTCAACAGTTTGCTCCCACACAGAAACATAAAGTGAAAAATACTGTTTGAGTACTAGTTATAGCATTAAATCACAATGTACAGCACACTAAGGCCAAAGATCCTACATGAGGAGTAAGTGCACAGTGACTCCTGTTGTTGACTTAACAAATTGACACTCTTGTTTATGGCATCAGTAATCACCCTAGGCTCTTGTCATGAGCTGCCAAGGCTATGGAAGCCCCCTGAGTTCACTGACTCTGATAATTTTTAGACAAGGCCATGGTCAAAGTGGAAGTTCTCTCCTCCCTTCAGAGAAAGGTACCTCCTTCTTTGATGACCCATTCTTTCCACCGGGATCTCACTCGCGGAGATCTTTCATTTAGGTTTTTTTTCCCCAGAGTATCTTGGCTTTCCATGCCTGAAATACTCTCATGGGCTTTTCAGCCGGATCCACATGCCTTAAATAAAATTTTTTAAAGAAAACCCTGGGCACCGCTAGGCAGTTCTCACAGTGGCCACCAGGCGGCAGCCTTACCCTGGGGCGGGCTGTGGGTCGAGGGGTTGACAGGTGTCTTGCTGTAAGCGAAGTGGCCACGTGTGTCTCACTGCCGCTCGGTTTTGTGTTAATCAGACCTCGCGCTCATTTGCCTGTAAACACTCGTGGGCACCATCAATGCCGGTCCCTGGCGTTCTGTGATTGAGTAGCTGAGTTGTCTTAAATGGCTGGGCTCCTAGGGACATTTGCGGTCACTTATTTCGGGTCCCCCTCCTCTGCCCAGCACCTGCCCTCCCCTCTCCCCCCACCCTGTTTCGCTCTTCCCCCTTCACATATGCAGTGGCCACCCGGAGTTGCACGGTCTGGGCTTGTTCCCTGTCCTCGCTGTGCCCCGCAGTCTGAGCATGGGCGGTCCCTGGGCTGGGGGAGTGGTGAGGGGACGCGGGGAGCCGCCCCGGGAGGGGACGCGGGAGGGCAGCACGGGGAGGGCTGGTGTGACCCGAGAGTGTGTGTTGGCGGCGGCAGGGGAAGAAGGGCGCTCACCGCTGGCCTCAGCCAGGGGTGGGGGTTCCCAGGGTGCCCCTAGCGGTGGGCTGAGCTCCAGAGGAGGCTTGGGGGGTTCGGGGTTCAATGGCGTGGGAAGAGGTCACTGCGGGTTGCTAGAGCCTGCGGCTCTCCCCCGCATCCCACTGCTGGAGCCCAAGGGACACACGGGCCAGGGGCGCCGGCCTCTCTGCCTGGGCAGGGCAGGACCAGCACACAAGCCCCTCGGGAACGTGCACTCAAGGCCAAGAGAGAGATCCAAGGCCTGGGCTGCTTCCGAAGAACTCAGGGTGGGAAGCTGCAGCGTGGGAAGCCGGCGACCCGTGGGGGAGTGCCTGGCTCAGGTCTTCCCATCCAGCTTCCTGCTAATGCACAGCCCGGGGGACGGCAGCTGATGGCTCCCGCGCGGGGGTCCCAGCCACCCGCGGGAGACCCGCATAGAATTCCCAGCTCCTGGCTTCAGGCCGGCCCAGCTCTGGCTGCTAAGACATTCCAGGAGTGAACCAGGGGATGGAAGACCTCTGTCACCCTGCATTTCAATCAATAAATCAACCCAAAAATTCCACACACAGGGACTAAAGAGTCTACTGGCAAAATTATCAGGAAAAAATGTTATAGTAAGCACGCTAAACATGTTAGCAAGATTGGGGCTGGTCACTGTGGCCCAGCAGTTAAGCTACCAGATGGGGTACCTGCATTCCACATTACAGTGTTGGCTCAAGTCCCAGCTGCTCTGCTTCTGATCCAGCTCCCTGCTAACGCACCTGGGAAGACAGCAGATGATGGCCCAAGTGCCTGGGTCCCAGGCACCACATGGGAGACCCGGATGGAGATTCTGGATGCACACTGTCCCAGCCCGGGACAAACGCCCAGCAGACGGCTGGCCGTCCAGGTCACGGCGGCGGGGCGTGGGCTTCCAAAGGGCCTCGCTGAGCAGATTTAAGGAAAAGAAAGGAAAGTAGAGAACCAGAGAACCAGCAACTTTTTCTTACAGGATTAAGAGGAAATTCAGTAACAGAAAACTGTAATAACTAAAATTAACAACTTGGGGCTGGCACTGGGGCACAGCGGGTTAAGCCACTACCTGCAGCACTGGCGTCCCATATATATGGTTGCCGGTTTGAGTCCCGGCTGCTCCACTTCCAATCTCGCTCCTTGCTAATGAGCCTGGGAAAGCATCGGAAGATGGCCCTAGTGCAGGGCCCCTGCACCCATGTGGGAGACCCAGACAGAGTTCCAGACCCCTGGCTTCCACCTGGGCCAGCCCCACCTGTTGCAGCCATCTGGAGGGTGAACCAGAGAATGCAAGATCTCGCGCGCTCTCTGCCTCTCCCTCTCTGTGTGCCTAGGAGCCGACGAGGAGGAGCTCCCGTGGTCACGGGTGGGACGACCTGAGCATCACTAAGGACCAGCACACGGCTCCAAACCCCGGATCTGTGTACAGCTGTGAGTTCAGGAGGAGTCTAAGTCAGGGAGCTGGTTGGGTCACTTTTGTGGGATGACAGGGCACAAACTCATTACCTTAAAAACAGGTCAAAGAAACAGAGCAGTTCCCATACACATTACAGACATTCCCCGGAAGCAGTGCCGCTGGGGACCTGGACAGCCTGCGGAGGCCCGCTGTGCGAGCATTCTGGGTGACACGCGGGAAGGAGCCGGCAGATGCGAGACGCCACCGTCCCACTTCCCAGAGTGCTGTCAGGTGTGGGCCCTGAGCATCCCCTGGACCAACCTCACGCAAAGAGGTCCCGCCATCCCCGCCCCCCCACCCCGGGGACGCCCAGCTGCGACCTGGCAGGAGGAAGGAGAGTCCGCACCCCTACAGAGACCAGGAGTGGGGCAGGAACGTGGGGGGGTGCAGAAAGGAGTGTGATGCCAGCGTCCAGGGCCACATCGGTGAGGTGTGAGTGGGAAGGGTGGTGCTGGCGCACACATGGGGGCCCTGGGCGTGGGGGCTGGATGCATGCGGGGGCCCTGGGCGTGGGGGCTGGATGCATGCAGGGGCCCTGGGTGTGGGGGCTTCCTCAAGGTGTGGCAGGGAGAAGCCCTCGAGGCTGCCGTGGCCCCGCTGCTGAGCCACCCTGCAGAGTCAGGTGGAGTCCCGGGCAGAGAGGAGGTACCGAGAGGGAGGGGTTGCTCGGCTACCTGCCCCCTGGGGACTGACAAGGACGACTCCAGGCTCCTGTCCCCTGGGCCACACAGAGAGACAAAGGCAGTGAGGGCTTCCAAACAGATGCATTTATTGGGGACTCTGGGGGTGGGGAGGCGGGGAGCACAGGCTCAGTTGGCCGCCAGGATCTCCTGCACCCAGGGGATGAGCTCAGTGACGCGGGTGTACACCGCGGGCGTGGAGGTGGAGCAGGTGTTGCTGCCCCAGGACACGATGCCCACCAGGGTCCAGGCTCCGTTCTTTTGGCAGACCAGGGGGCCGCCAGAGTCGCCCTGTGGGATGGAGAAGGCACTTGTCTCCAGGCCTGGAGAGGGTGCCAGGGCCCCAGGGCCCTGACCTGGCGGGGTGCACAGAAGGAGCCAGTGGCGCCTGCCTGTGCCGCCCCCCCGGCCCAGTTCTGCCATCTGCTCCCGGAGGACCCCAGGCAGGTGTCTGCCCCTCTCCGAGCTTCACTGCTGTCCAAATCGGGCGGACACATCCAGCTCAACGGCTGGTGAGGATTGAGTCCCTGTGGGCAGCACCGCACCCCCTTGGGGCATCTGTCAGCCTCAGACCCGGTGTTCCTGGGAGCACTGGACAGGGAGCAAGGTGAAGCTTAGGGGGCAGAGGAGCAGGGTCCCTGCCTGGACCCTGTCCACAAGCGCATGCGCGGCCGCACTACCTACATTGCAGGAGGACACTCCATTGGCGCCGGCGCAGATCATCACGCTGGTGATCTTGGTGCCCCAGTACTTCTGGCAGTCGGCATTGGACAGGAGCGGCAGGGCCGCCTGCTGCAGCTTCTCAGGGGTCGTGTTGGCTGTGGGGACAGAAAAGGAGCAGTGAGGGCCCCTCAGCGCCCCCTGGAGGGAGAGCCCAGAGGTTGCCCGGCCGCGCATGCCCGGTGGGGCACGGCGGGTGGCTTTGCTCCTGCTGGACACACTGGGCGTCCCGCGCCTCCCTGGGCCTCCCCCTTCTGGGCTGAGAGGGTGGACGGGGAGCCCAGCAGGTGAGTCCAGGCCCAGGTGCTCTGGACGAAGATCAGGCAGAGCAGCGGGAAGCGAGCTCTTGGGCGCTGACCCAGGCCCAGCGGGCAGACCCCCTGCGAGCGGGGCCCCCAGCCTGTTCTGGCCTGGACGCCCCCCGGCCTGGTTCTCCCGCCTTTGTGCAGCAGCTACTGTCCACGCCTTTGCTAGCTCTCAGTCTCCAGTCGTGTAGACTCGGTGAAAGCATTTAAAATGCAGAAATGGCCGGCCCCGCGGCTCACTAGGCTAATCCTCCGCCTGCGGAGCCGGCACCCTGGGTTCTAGTCCCAGTTGGGGTGCCGGTTCTGTCCCGGTTGCTCCTCTTCCAGGCCAGCTCTCTGCTGTGGCCCGGGAGTGCAGTGGAGGATGGCCCAAGTGCTTGGGCCCTGCACCCCATGGGAGACCAGGATAAGCACCTGGCTCCTGCCATCGGATCAGCACAGCGCACCAGCTGCAGCGGCCATTTGGAGAGTGAACCAACGGAAGGAAGACCTTTCTCTCTCTCTCTCTCACTGTCTAACTCTGCCTGTCCAAAAAAAAAAAAAATGCAGAAATGGAAAGATCTGTGACAGTGTTGGAATTTAGGTCGGAGAGATGGGGGGAGGGGGAACCAGCGCCCGAGGCGTCCCACCTGCCACGCCGGGGTGCCCGGCCACCTCTGGCTCCCGCGGGCCTCGTCTTACCGTTGTACCGGATCTTGCCCCAGCCTGTGGTGGCGCACAGCGTCCCCGCTGGGAAGTCGTCGTCGGCGCTGGGCAGGCACACGGCCGACACGGTCTGTGAGAAGCTGGCAGGCGTGGCCAGCTTCAGCAGGGTGATGTCGTTGCGGATGGTGAAAATGTTGAACTTGGGGTTCTTGAACACCTGTGCGCGACACCAGAGCCCCAGGTGAGGATCTGCAGGCCTGGGGGCCGCCCAGGAGCGGGAGACCACGGGCCTGGGGTGAGCGCTCTGCGCCTGCCCGCCCCCGCCCCAGGCTCCAGCAGCAAGGGGCTTCCTCCTTCCGCGCGCCTCCACGCCCACCCCGCGAGACCGGGGCGTACCTTTGCGATCTTCAGCACCTGCACCTTCTCCTGGCTGGAGCCCTGGTCAAACTCCCCGGCCACGACCAAGTGGGAGGTACTGGAGAGGCCAGAGAGGGGACGGGATTCCCGCCGTGAGGAGGGGGCCAGGCGCTGGGGGCGGCGGGTGTGTGCCCGAGTAAGGGGAGTACGGCCCCCTGCCCGCCATGCACTCATGCGCGTGCGCGCTGCTGATCCTATCATTCTGGCAGGACGCATGGGCAGCTGCAACCATGAACAAGGCCGCTCACTGCCTTGTCTCCAAGGGGACCCTGGGCAGAGTGAACTTTGTATGCATTTCCCACAGGGTCTCTGAGGAGTGGAGGGGATAAAGGACTCGTCCTCAACCATGACAGCTTCCCTACCGCACCCCAAGGGCTTTCCTGGGGACCCACGGCCCTCACCTGACCCCGCAGTGGGCGGCGGTGACCACCCAGTTCTCGCTGATGAGGGAGCCCCCGCAGAAGTGGAAGCCGGTCTTGTCCTGGGGAAGGGGAGGGGGGGTCAGCAGTTCCCACCAGGCGGAGCCCCCAGCCTGACCAACGCCCCCCACCACCCGGTGCCTCCAGGTGCCCAGAGTCCCGCTCTCACCTGCAGGGACACCTGCCAGGGCCAGGACCCGGGGACGGCGTCCTCGCCATTGACGATCCTGGACAGGCCGGTCAGCACGGGTTGGATGGCGGGGACCCCGCAGCCTGCGGGCAGGGTGCAGAAGGGCTGGACGGGAGCCACCGGGGCCGCACCTGTTTCTACCTCAGCCTGTCCAGGCCACCTCCTCTGCACATGGCCCCTGGACCCCCACCCAGCCTGCTGACCCCAGCTGGGGCCACCCAGGCTGCCCGAGGAGCAGAAATGAGGTCCGCCGTCAGGCCCCAGGCCCACGTCTGCTCTCTGCAACCCTGACCAGGCACAGCACTACTCTGAGCCTCAGTTTGCCCGTCTGTGAAACGGGGAGAACACCACTGACTTCACAGGGCCACGCTCCTCTGCTGGACTTGGGGAAGGCTGGGGCTCAGGCTCGGTGACCCCGAGTCGCGGGGAATCCTGGGTGCCGCCTCTGCACTGGGGGCTCGTGGGGAATTCTTTCCGTGACGTGTGGCAATCTCAGGAAATACTCACTCTGTGCAGTTTGGGCTTCTTGACTGTTTAATAAAATAAGACTTTGACTCCGTGCCACAAACGGACCCAGTGGAGAATAAGAAACGAATAAAATTGCGAGAAGGCAGGTGTACTCCCCATGTCCCAGGCGCGTTGCGGCGTTGGGACTGAGTGAATTCCTGCGCCTGTGCCGGGTTCCTCAGCTGGGCGCTGCGCGTGAGCAGGTGCCCGATGTAGCCCCACAGACCGGCTGTGCCAGCCGGCGCCTGCCTCTCCTGCCCTCAGCACCAGGCGCTGGACAGGCCCCTCACTGAGATTGGTGTGCGTGGAAATGCTGTGAGAATCATCTGTCTCTCTAGCAGGAAGGGATTAAATGGTGTCGGAGGGCACTGGGCGATGTGCCTGGGTTCCAGTCCCAGCTCCACCGGTTCCAGTGTCCTACGGATGTGCACCTGGAGGGAGGCAGAGCAGGTGACGACTCAACCGCCGGCTTCTGCCACCCACGTGGGAGACCTCGATGGACGCCTCCTGGAGTTGGCCCTGTCCATTTTGGACAATTGGAAATTGTAGATGTCCCCGCAGATGGTGGTACACTTCTGTGCCTTTGCCTCTCAAATAACTAAGACTTTAAAAAGAACTATCTGGGGCTGGCACTGTAGCGCAGTGGGTAAAGCCACCGCCTGCAGTGCCAGCAGCCCATATGGGTGCCGGCTGGAGTCCTGGCTGCTCCTCTTCCAGTCCAGCTCTCTGCTACGGCCTGGGGAAGTGGTGAAGATGGCCCAAGCGCTTGGGCCCCTGCACTTCCCCTCTGGGAAGACTCAGAGGAAGCTCCTGGCTTCAGATTGGCCCAGCTCCAGCCATTGCAGACATCAGGAGAGTGAACCAGTGGATGGAAGATTTTCTCTCTCTCCCTCTCTCCCTCTGCCTTTCAAATAAATTAAAAATAAATAAATAAATAAAAGGAGCTATCTCGGGACTGGCACTGTGGCAGGTGAAGCTGTCACCTGTGACGCTTCTAATTCAGCTCCCTGCTAATGGCCTGGGAAAAGCAGTGGAAGATGGCCCGAGTGCTCGGGTCCCTGCCACCCTTAGGGAAAACCCAGATGAAGCTCCCGGCTCCTGGCTTCAGCCAGGCCCAGCCCTAGCTGTTGCAGCCATCTGGGGAATGAACCAGCGGAGGGAAGACCTCTCTCTCTCTCTTCCTCTCTAACTCTGGCTTTCAAATAAATAATTATCCTTTAAAAAACATCTGAAGCAAATCTGCAAAAAGGTAAGATTCGCTCAATCTCAGCATTAGACCCAGGATGTCACATTAGTCTTTCTTTCTTCCTTACCATTCCTTTCTTTTTGAAAGAAAACACAATGCTGAGCAAGTGCCTGGTGGACCCCTAGGGAAGATTCCTGTGGCCACGCCCTGTTGCCCCCCACCCCCAGCACCTGCACTTCCGGAGCTTCAGGTCACGGCTGAGCACTCCTGGGCATGGGCAGGAGGCTCAGACAGCCCCAGCAGCCCCAGCTGTGTGTGCGAGTGCTCTAGAGCCCGGGGCAGGGAGGGGCTCAGAGCTCCTCCCAGCCAGGCCACAGGGTCCTCCCAAAACGCGGCGGCCTCCACGGGACCCTGACCGCAGGGCCCACCAGGAGCTCAGAGACTCCCCCCACCCCCACCCCCCAGGCCTGGCCAGCCGCTGAGCCCAGCACTTACTGAAGGCAGTCCCCAGGAGGGCGAAGCAGGAGAGGAGCCCAAGGAAAGCCATGGTGCCGCAGGCGGAGAGGTGTACAGCTTACCTGCCCTGGCCGCCTTTATATCCCCAAGGGTTCCCCGAGCCCCACCCAGCACCCATGGCCCTGCCCAGCCAGGGAGGCCCGAGAGCCACCCTTCGTTATCCAAGGACCTTGGGCGATAAGTGGGGCCAAGACCCCCTCGCAGCCCAGCCTGGCTCAGGTGTCTCTGGGAAAGAGTGCACCTGCTTGTCCCAGGGCCCCACCCCACAGGCCTTGGCCATGCCCATATCCCCAGGGCACTTCGAGCAAGGCCAGGGCATGGCCCAGGAGCTCAGGACGCAGGGCCGGGGGACCTGCAGGGCCCAGTGCACCAGGAGGCTTTGCAGCTCCTAATTAAGGCAATCCCACTTCAGGATTCGAGAGGCCCAGCTGGTGGGGCCGGCACCATGGTGTAGTGGGTTAAGTTGCCACCTGCAGTGTCGGCATCCCATGTGGACACCAGTTCGAGTCCTGGCTGTTCCACTTCTGATGCAGATTCCTGATAAAGTGCCTGGGAAAGCAGCAGAAGATGGCCCAAGTGCTTGGGCCTCTGCAATCGCGTGGGAGACCCGGATGACCCTCCTGGCTTCAGCCTGGCTCAGCCCTGGCCATTGCAGCCATCTGGAGAGTGATCCTGTGGATGGAGGGTCTCCGTCTCTCCCTCTCTGTGTAACTCTGACTTGCAAATAAATCTTTAAAAAAATCAGCAGAATTTCCCCAGTGCTGGGGCCCCGGGACGTGAACCTGGACTCTCGGCAGATGGCGCTGATGAAACCGACATCCAAAAGCAGAGCGCGGCCGTGGGCATCAGGCGGGGGCCACTGGTCGCCAGCCCAGCCAGGCAGCCTTCGGGTGACAAGAAGTCGCCCTGGCTGGTGACGTCCACCCCGCCACCCGATGACTCGCCACCTAGGGAACCAGTTGTGGGGTCGGCTGTTGGTTTCCCATAAAATGGAGCTTTGATTCCACGCGGCAAAATGACCCAGGAAGCGGGGGTGGGGGGGGCTTGGCAACCCGACACCACCGTGGAACTTGATGCTGGTTCAAGTTTTGCTGGTGTTTCCTTTATAAATTTGGTTTTGCTTCCAGCTGTGTGTGGATCAAGGGCTCTGACTGGGGGCCCTGCCAGCGGAGAAGCTGCCTGTGGCCGCCCAGGGCTGTCCCCTCCCTGATCCGGCGCAGGCAGGCTCTGCCGAGCACACACACGTGGGTGTCCCGGCCCAGGCAGTCTGCCGAGAGCGCCGCTCCCCACCGCCCAGTCCGAGCGAGCAGCCTCGCCCCTGGTATTTTCCTCGCTTCAGGGAATTTTCCAGAACAGGAAACAGAAGCAGGCTGAAGTCCCTTCATCTGCTGTGGGTCACAGGGGCGGGGCGGGGGCCAGGCTGGGGAGGGAGAGTTTCCCGGCCTGCGAGAGGTGATCCCGGGAGGCCCAGGATGACCCATTCCTCTGGGTCCCCAGCCCACTGCCCCCATCCCAGCCAGGGAGCAGGGGACCGCTCTGTGAGGAGGAACCGCCCCGCCCTCTCGTCCACACGGTCAGCCTGGTTCTCAGGGGCAGCTCTTGAGGACAATCTAACTTCCCGCTTTCTGTGCCCTGGCACATTCTTGTGGGGGTGCGATGCTCAATACCCAGAGCTTCGGCTGCCACTTTGACACCATGAGACCCGCAAAAGCTGCAGCTCTCTCCCCCAGATCTGTTCTCAAAGAGCAGGTGCCAGTCAGCCACCAGCAGCCTCCCATTTGACCACAGAACCCTTGTGGTGGCTTCGGCCTCTGTCCCCCACAGCCACACTCCATTTCTGGCCTCCCGGAAGCTGACCGCCAGGGGCGGGACTGCACCCACAGGTCCCCTGCCCTCTCTCCCTTCCCAATGGCTTCAGCCCACGGGAGGCACCTGCAGGAGCAGCCCTGGAGTGGGGGAGGCACAGCTGTCCCCTAGTACCCACAGGGCCCAGCTCCAGGGCTCCTGGATCCCAAAACCCGCAGGTGCTCACTCCCCTCACGTGGACTGGCGTGGCCCTGCGTGGAAGCCACACACCCTCATGTGCACTTCAGGTCACCCGTGAAGGCCGTGGACATGGCTGTCGCAAGGCTGTTCCTCGGGACGAGGACTGGACATCAGCCAGTGCGCCCAGGGCAGAGGCAAATGTTTCCTTCTGTATTTGCCACCTGAGGGTGGCCGAATCCATGGGCGTAGGAGGCTCGGCTCCGGGAGCTCCGGATGCTCCCTAGGGCTGCGGTGGGCGGGCTGCACGCCTTACAGAGACCACAGGCCCTGTCCGCGGCGCCCGCCCCACAGCCCCCCTGAGTCCCTGCAGCTCCAGTGCGGCCCTGGGTGTCTCACTAGCCCTCCGCTGGCTCCCCCTAAACCCTGCCACACTGTGCACAAATTCCTGGTGCGGAAACTCACCTCAAACCCTGCCCTTGGCAGTGAACTCAGGACCCCCGGCAGTGGTGCGCAGCACCCGGCGCTCATGCGGGGAAGTCCCCGAGCACCTCATGGCGGGGATGGTGAGAGCCTGGTGTCCCACGCCGGAGAGCGGGAGGAGCCCCCACAGCCACGGCACTGAGCCCTCCACACCGAAGGGGCGGCGATCAGCGTGCCCGGGGCTTAGGAACAGCCACGCCAGCCACGGCTTCACTCCTGCCAGGAGGGCGACACAGAACACAGGGGCAGGCCTGGGGTATGCGGGGGAGCTGCTGCTTAGAGTGCATGACCCCTCGTCAAGTGTCTAAGCTCAAATCCCCGCCCACTTCTCACCCAGCTTCCTGCCAACGCACACACGGGGAAGCAGCAGGCGGCGGCTCGAGGACTCGGGTTCCTGCCACTACATGGGAGAGCGGATGGAGTTCCAGGCTCCTGGCTGTTGCAGCCATGGGAAGTGAACCGGCAGATGGAAGATCTCTCCTCATGCATCTGTCTCTCTGCCTTTTAAATAAAATGAAAATAAAGAAAAAATTTAAAGAAAAAAAAAAACAACAACAACAGAAAGTGTCAGGTGTTGGTGAACCTATGAAGACCCTGGGCTCCTCCTCCACGGCTTGTGGCCTCTGGGAGAGAGAGGAAAGAGGTGGCAGGGCCAGGCAGGGCCTCAGAAAGCTAAGCACGGTGCCCCGGGACCCAGCGAGCCCACTGCGAAGGATGCAGCCCCGAAGGCAGACAGCGCCGGAACACGTACCTGCACGCCAGTGCTCACAGCAGCACCACTGCCAAAAGGTGGCAACCACACTTGGTTCACAAACACAACAACCAATTGTAGCTCCTCCATACAAGGAGATACTATTCAGCCAGGAAAGGAAGGAAGAAGTGACCCGTGCTCCAACATGGAAGAATCCTGAACACACACTAAGCGAAATGAAGCAGACACAGAAGAACAAGTATCATCTGATTCCACTTGTATAAAACACCAGTGTCGGCCGGCGCCGCAGCTCACTAGGCTAATCCTCCGCCTTGCGGTGCCGGCACACCAGGTTCTAGTCCTGGTCGGGGCGCTGGATTCTGTCCCGGTTGCCCCTCTTCCAGGCCAGCTCTCTGCTGTGGCCAGGGAGTGCAGTGGAGGATGGCCCAAGTCCTTGGGCCCTGCACCCCATGGGAGACCAGGAGAAGCACCTGGCTCCTGCCATCGGATCAGCGCGGTGCGCTGGCCGCGCCGGCCATTGGAGGGTGAACCAACGGCAAAGGCAAAGGAGGACCTTTCTCTCTGTCTCTCTCTCTCTCTCATTATACAATAATAAATGTTGCTACTCTATATTCAAACATGCATTGCTTGGAGTAGTTTGTCCTGAAAAACGAAAATTTTTGTTGATGCTTGTCACATACCAAAATCCAGGGAATCAGGGACCTTATTGTTTTAATGTTTACATATTTATTTCTACTTACTTGAAAGGCAGAGTGAGAAAGCAACACCTTCCAACTACTGGTTCTCTCCCCGAATGCCCCCAACAGCTGGGGCTAGGCAGAGGAAAGCCAGGAGCTTGGAGCTCCATCAGGTCTCCCATGTGGGCAGCAGGGACCCAAATACTCGAGCTGTTGCCTGCGCCTCCCCGGATGTATTAGCAGGAAACTGGATCAGAAGCAGACGTGAGACTTGAACCAGGGACTCTGGATAAGAGATGCAGGCAACTCAGGTGGCGTCTAACCCACTGTCCCACAATGCCAGCCCACAGCACCCACCTTCGATGGCTGGCACATGCGGTATAGAAAGTACACCCATAAAGCTGGAAAAGACTCGGCTTGTGATGCCAGCATCCCACATGGGTGCCAGTCCCAGTCCTGGCTGCTTCTCTTCCGATCCAGCTCTCTGCTATGGCCTGGGAAAGCAGTGAAGATGGCCCAAGTCCTTGGGCCCCTGCACCCACGTGGGAGACTGGAAGAAGCTCCTGGCCCCTGGCTTCGGATCAACTCAGCTCTGGCCTGTGTGGCCAATTGGGGAGTAAACCAATGGATGAAAGACCTATCCTCTCTCTATGTAACTCTGACTTTCAAATCAATCAAAAAAAAAATTTTTTTTTTTGACAGGCAGAGTGGACAGTGAGAGAGAGAGACAGAGAGAAAGGTCTTCTTTTGCCGTTGGTTCACCCTCCAATGGCCGCCGCGGCCCGAGCGCTGCAGCCGGCGCACCGCGCTGATCCGATGGCAGGAGCCAGGAGCCAGGTGCTTTTCCTGGTCTCCCATGGGGTGCAGGGCCCAAGCACCTGGGCCATCCTCCACTGCACTCCCTGGCCACAGCAGAGAGCTGGCCTGGAAGAGGGGCAACCGGGACAGAATCCGGCGCCCCGACCGGGACTAGAACCCGGTGTGCCGGCGCCGCTAGGCGGAGGATTAGCCTAGTGAGCCGCAGCGCCGGCCCAAATCAATCAATTTTAAAAATAAAAAAAAACCTCTGCATTTGCCATGTGTACCAGCATTGTGGTACAGAGTACCACTTGGGACAGCGGCATCCCCTATTGGTGCTGGTTCAAGTCCCGGCTGCTCCACTTCCCATCCAGCTCCCTGCTGCTGCACCCGGGAAGGCAGCAGCAGATGGCCTGAGTACTGGGGCCTCTGCCACCCACGTCGGAGATGCGGATGGAGCTCCTGGCTTCAGCCTGGCCCAGCCCTAGGTGCTGCAGGCAGCACTGGATAGAAGATCTCTCTCTCTCTTTCTTCCTGTAACTCTACCTTTCAAATAAATAAACCTATTTCTCTCTCTCTCTCTCTCTCTCTCTCTCTCTCTCTCTCTCCCTGTAACTCTGCCTTTCAAATAAATAAACCTATTTTTTAAAAAAAGGTAAAAAGAAATTATACTTTGATATATTTGTTTTTAACTAAAAAAAGGGGGGCTGGGATTTGACGCCAGGGCAGGCCGTGAGGGAGCGGGCTGGCCTGTACCCCACAGGTTCTCATCTCTCGGAAGGTGCCAGGCATGGAGGTGCCCGTTCCAGAGGAACCCAGGTCTGAGGCCCCACTGGGCCCCCGAGGTGGGCAGCTGCTTGGCCGGCACAAGCCTCCCCCAAGGAGGCAGACGGCATGGACGTGGCAGGGTGGGGGCTCTCTGTCCCCAGCCACACTCTGCCCCCAAACCCAAGCTGCCCAGGACAGCCCTGGCTTCGGGACGCCCTTCTGGTACACACAGGCAGGCAGTGGGGGAGGCAGTGCGGGGTGGAGGATTCCTGAAACGGCTGCGGCCCCGCATGCTCTTGAGCTGACACCGTCCCTCGGGGAAGCGGCAGGAGCAGAGGGCATGGCGTGGCCTCCCACACGTGCACCGGTCCGCGTCCTGGCTGCTGCACTTCTCATCCGGACCCTGCTACTGGCAGGGGAAAGGCAGCAGAGGATGGCCGGGGTGTTTGGGCCCCTGCCACGCACGTGGGAGACCTGGATGAAGCTCCTGGCTCCTGGCATCAGCCTGACCCCGAGCTGACTGTTGTGGCCATCTGGGGAGTGAACCAGCAGATGCAAGCTCTCTCTGTCTCTCCTTCTCTCTCTGTCACTCTTTCAAAATCAATCTCTCTCTCTCTCTCACTCTCTCTCTCTCTTTTTTGAAAGACAGTGACAGAGAGAGAGGCAGAGACACAGAGAGAAAGAGATACTGATGAAGGTCTTTCCATCCACTGTGCACTCCACACAAGGCCACAATAGCTGGGGCTGGGCCAGGCTGAAGCCAGAGCCTGGAATTCCATCCAGGTCTCCCACATGGGTGCAGGGACCCAAGCACTCAGGCCATCTTCCACTGCTTTCCCAGGCACATTAGGGAACTGGATCAGAAATAGCATAGCCAGGACTGGAACTGGCTCTCTGGCATTTCAAGTAGAATAATCTACTACACCACAACACCAGCCCCTCTCTTTTTTTAAATAAAAAATAATAATAAAAAGCAACAAGTTTTAAAAAGACAGAGGGAATTTTTAAAAAAGATTTATTTATTTATTTGAAAGTTGGAGTTACAAGGAGAGGTAGAGGCAGAGAGAGAGAGAGAGAGGTCTTCCATCCGATGGTTCACTCCCCAACTGACCTCAATGGCCAGAGCTACGCCGATCTGAAGCCAGGAGCCAGGAGCTTCTTTCAGTCTCCCTCGTGGGTGCAGGGGCCCAAGGACTTGGGCCATCTTCCACTGCTTTCCCAGGCCACAGCAGATATGGATCGGAAGTGGAGAAGCCAGAACTTGAACCAGCGCCCATATGGGATGCCGGCACTACAGGTGGCGGCTTTACCCGCTATGCCACAGCGACGGCCCCAGGGAGAATTTTTAAAAACCAGTGATGCTCTCTGCGATTAACTCCCAAACAGGCAAGCTCTGCACATGTGGATGCACGTAGGGATGTGTGGCAAGCTGTGGGCAGCCGAGTCCCATAGCCGGCGTGTGGGTGATCACAGGCCTGTTTGTGATTACTGTTATGAGGGTTTGGGATTTTTCAAAAATGAGTTGACACCCATTGGGAGGTGTGGGTTTTGCGGTCGCCTAAGCTGCAGGGGCATGTGGTCGGCTAAGGGCAGATATTCCCACCAGCCCCCCAGCCAGGGAAAAATCCGGGGTGGAAGAGGTTAGCCAAAGAAGCATGTGTCACACGGCTCTATCTGGGAAGCCTGGGATGGCGTCCTGGCGCTGTAGACCCAGTTGCCACGCCCTCCGGGAAATCTGATGAGGGTGATGCAGGGTGGGGGACACCCAGAATGGGGGTGGGCGCCGACTCCTTCAGTTCTGCTGTTTAAAGGTGGGCACCCGAACACCAAGACTCGGCCTCATGTGTTCACAACAGCTGTCCCCCTAACAGCCCCAGGCTAGAGAACGGGTGATGGCCAAACAGTGACAAGACACACGGCGTGATTCTGTTGCCACGCAACTCCGGAAGCCAAAGGAATCCACACGCAAGGGTGCGCACTAGTGTCAGTTGTGCAAGATGGAAAGCCAGCCTATGCAGAAAGCAATCAGAACAGCAGCTGCTTCAGGAGGTGGGACTGGGCCCAGGGCGCGAGGGGCTCTGGGGAGTGGGAGATGTCCGGCTTCTCGCTGTGGGGGACCGGGGGCGGGGCCCCAAGGCCCATGCCCTCATCGGAGGCCACCGACCCATCGGCGCTACAGTCAGCGGCGTTCAAGCAAGAGCAAAGGACCCGTGCACCTCATTTCGGAAATGAACACAGATAGCAGGTGGCACCCACGTCCCATGTGAGGGCCTGAGCTTCAGATCCCGACTTCCTGCTGGGAGGCAGCGGGTGGCTGGGGTAGTGGGGATCCCTGCCACCCACGTGGGAGACGTGGATGGAGTCCCCACATCAGATCTGCCTGTCTCTGTCTCTTCGCCTTTCAAATAAATTAAAAATAACTAAGTAAAAATATAAAAAGAACCCATGAAAGAAGAGAGCCCAGGAGGCCAGAGTCCATGGGGACCGGGACACAGGCTGCTCCCCCTCTCTGTCCCCACCCGGCTGCCCGACAGAGCCACTCAAAGCCGCCCTGGGCTCAGGCTCCCCACGGCCCCCGCAGCTGCGCCTGTTCCCACGCGCTAGGCCCCCGGTGCCAGCTGCACATTTCCATGCCGGCCAAGGCCGCGTTCACAGCCACGTGTCGGCCCTCCTATCTGGCCCCTCCCCCTCCCCACGCCGGCTCCTGCCTCTGTGGCTCCTGGCTCCTCTGGACCACATGGGCTCCCTGCGACCCCCAGGCCCTGGCCCTGACCGTTCCGTGTGCCTGGACCCGGTCCCCTCCGGAGACCCGGGGTTACTCCTGCACACACAGCTGTTGCCCGTCCTAAGCGATGATGTTGATATGATGATGATGGTGACACTGCTCTCAGCGGGGCCTGATGCGCACGAGTGTTCTACTTCTTTCACTCTTTTGCCTAAACTCTCCGACCCAGGTAAGCTTGCTAAAGGGAAGGCAGGGGTCTGTGTGCACTCCGGGAGGGGGCTGCTGTCTCTGCTGGTTGCTGGGATAAGCTGCAGGCACCCAGCACCTCTGCCAACACACGGCCTCTCGGGTGCGGAAGGGGCCTGCCAGGCCATTAGCTGAAGAGATACCGAGAAGGGGACCACAGCGTACACCTCCTGCCGACTCACGGAGAGACGGCATCAGAGAAGGTGAGGGACTCGCCCTAGGAGCCACAGCTGGCTGACGCCAAAATCCGAGCCGTGGACGCACACGTCACCGCCATCCATTCAGCGGATGTGACGACAGCCCCGAGCCACGTTGCCTGCACTCGGGGAAGCTTGCCCTGTGTCTGGCAGCCTCAAGCCCAGACTTCTCCCTCCCAGAGTCCCAGGTCCACCTCCCCTGTGCCTCCCACACGTTGAGGTCCAGCCCCGTTAGCCCTCATCGTGGGGATGAGGGATCCCCGGGGGACACAGGCCCTGTCTTGCCCCCGACCTGCCCCAGGATGCCACACACTCAATTCCAGGGTCTGGGCTGCTGGCCCCTGTGTGCGGGGGCTGGCTCAGGTGACCGGGCAGTGGGCAGCTGTGCCCTGCCCAGGCACTCTGCAGACAGGCTGGCGCTGAGACCCTGTGGCCCTGGCCTCCAAGCCTCACCCAAGCCTCTGACCTGACCCAAGCCTTCCTGAACCTCGCCCTGCTTGTGCAGGGCCCAGGGACGTTTGAACACATGTATTGTCCGAGATCCTCCAAGCCACAGGGACTCGGCTGGGACTTAAACCCCGGCCTTCCAGATTCAAGCCATGGAGGCCCGCACAAGAGGCAGAGGCCCGGAGGAGGAAGGCTCTGGCCCAGTGACCGCTTGTCCGGCCTTGTTCTGCCCTTGGCTCTGGCCCCAAGCTCGGCGGTGGGCCACAGCTGCTGCCCTCCCAGGCTCCTGCCCGGCCAGGCACACACCCAGGGAAGGGATTATCACCTCAAGGTCTGCAGATAACAGCTGGGCGGGGGCCCTGGGCTATAACAGGGAGCTGCGGGCAGGCGCCCTGGATCCGTGCACGTGGCACCATGGCCTTCCTCTGGCTGCTCTCCTGCTGGGCCCTCTTGGGCACCACCTACGGTAGGTGTCAGCAAGGCCGGGCGAGGGCAGCAAGGCCTCCTCCTTTACCCCAGGCTACAGGGTCCCTGCTCCCTGCACACAGCATGCTGAGCCCGTGCCAGCCCCTCCCACTCTGCGTGCCATCGGCCACATCTCCAGCTCGGGGACGCTGGGAGGAGCCGCCCAGATCCCCAGCTCCCTCGCAGTCTCAGTCTCAGGGCCGTTCCCTCTCCTTACGCCCATCCAGTCCGAAGCCCCCAGGGAAGGCAGCGAGCATTCCTGGGGCTGCCTTCAGGCCTCGAACCCTGGGCAGGGGTCAGGAAGACAGGTCTAGAAGGAAAGACAGTTGGGGCTGCCACACAGGCTCGGATGGTGACAGGTGAGCACTTGCAGCTTCGTCCCTTCCATTCCTGCTCTTAAAAGCTCCTGTTCACTGTGCACCTACTATGCGCCAGGCACAGAGCCAGCACTTTGCAGGCTAACTTGTCTTGCATCCTTACTCCAACCATGTAAGCCCGGCAACTGTGTGATGCCCACGTCACTGGTGTGGAGACAGAGTGGGCAGTGCTGGGCCGGGAGCAAAGGCATGGAGCCCACCTTGTACCCCGCCTGTCAGTCTGGCCAGGGTAGAGGTGGGCACCAGTCGGATTCCTCTGCTCCTGATGCCCAGTGCACGTCAGCCTGAGTGGCCCTATGGGGATTTCAGGGCCAGAGCGCAGTCAAGGCCACCTTCTCAGGGAGGGGAGGTGGGAGCCAGGCCTGGTCCCAGAGGCTGGGACAGGGGTGGAGGTGAGGAGGCGGGGCCCTGGGACCTGGGTCCAGGGTCAACCTTGCCATCCACCCTCACCCTTCCCTGCCCGCAGGCTGCGGGGTCCCCGCCATCCAACCCGTGCTGACCGGCCTGGCCAGGATCGTCAATGGTGAGAATGCCGTCCCCGGGTCCTGGCCCTGGCAGGTGTCCCTGCAGGTGAGAGCGGGACTCTGGGCGCCTGGAGGCACCGGGTGGTGGGGGGCGTTGGTCAGGCTGGGGGCTCCGCCTGGTGGGAACTGCTGACCCCCCCTCCCCTTCCCCAGGACAAGACCGGCTTCCACTTCTGCGGGGGCTCCCTCATCAGCGAGAACTGGGTGGTCACCGCCGCCCACTGCGGGGTCAGGTGAGGGCCGTGGGTCCCCAGGAAAGCCCTTGGGGTGCGGTAGGGAAGCTGTCATGGTTGAGGACGAGTCCTTTATCCCCTCCACTCCTCAGAGACCTTGTCGGAAATGCGTACAAAGTTCCAGTGCTGCCTGGGCCCCCGGGAAGGGTGTGCCACTGTTTGCAATCACAGCTGTGTGAGCTGCCCTGTGGTCACGAGCACGGATACACGCACGCTGTGCACACACGCCTGCACACGGCTCCTGAGAGGCCGCCCGCCCCCTGCAGCTGGCGCCCTCCTCATGGCGGGAACCCGCTGCTCTCTGACCCTCTCCAGTACCTCCCACTTGGTCGTGGCCGGGGAGTTTGACCGGGGCTCCAGCCAGGAGAAGGTGCAGGTGCTGAAGATCGCCAAGGTATGAGGGCTACCGGGGTCCAGGTGCCACCCTGGCGGCGAG